TCGATAAGCGAATCAAGGAGAATCGAGGTCTTCGACATCGACAGGATCTCACTGCTCAGGAGAAGAAGACACAACGGCTGCAACTAAGCAAAAGCATCAACAAGATTGTCCGCCGGAGCCTGGCTGAGCAGAAGATCGCACTAATCGGAACTGTTTTGACACGTTTCCGCGCTGTTTCCGCTATTCCGCTTGCGGGGCGCCCATTGCTAGCATCGCCTATTGCTATTGCCGACGCCTATTGCTAGCATCGCCGGCGATGATGGCACAAAGCGGACTTCCAAGGAAGATATCGCAAAAGGTTTTCGCGAAGTTTTGCGAGAAGCTGCATTCCACGAGGTGCCAGAACAGCACCGATGACACAAAGGACGCCCCTACTCCAGCTGTGCTGGCTGTTCCTTCTCTGGAATTCGACCGAGCACTGGCCAACGCGAAGAATGGCAAATGCAGTGACGAAGTTGGGGGTGGAAGCTGAGATGCTAAGATACAGTGGGCTGCCTTTTCGTGATCTTGTATTGCGCATGTTCAACAACGTGTTGCGTGCCAAGGCAAAGCCGCCGGCCAGCTGGAGGAGAACACGTTTGGTCGTTTTGTTCACGAAGGGGCGCCCGCCACTCCCGAAAATTTGCCGGCCAATCGCTAGATTACCAATCCTGTACAATCTATTCGCCAGAATGCTATGTGACCGCCTTCAGCCCCTCACTATGTCATCGCAGTCGCCAGATTAAGCGGCACACCGAAAAGAGTATTCGACGTCTGACCACATGCTCGCAGTCACGTTGTTCGTGGAAGGCTGCTCAAAGTGGAACCAGGACTCGTGGATCGGCTCGTGGATTTCGACCAGGCTTTTGACACAGAGGAGCATTTTTCGTTATGGACGGCGTTCCGTTCCGTTCGTTGGGCGCGAGGAGATGGGTACACAGGACGATTGTAAAAGTTGTACAGGCACCAGACAGCGACGGTCATAGCAGGCGCGGAGTCGAGGGCATTCAATTTATCCAGAGGCGTGAAACAAGACGACCCGGTAAGTGCGCTTTCGTGCATCGCAGTGATGGAAGTGTGCTTCCGCAGCCTGAAGGAAAGGTGACAATGAATCAATAAACGCCGCTTGGGGCAGTATTACGGCATGGTCGTCGACGAGCCTGGAGACACACTCGCCAGCCTTGGTTTTGCAGGCGACGTGCTTTTGATTGCACAACATAAGGGGGACGTGATGCAGAGGCTCACAGACTTGAAAAAGGAAACTGCTTTAGACGGCCTGGTGGTGCACCTGGAGAAGACCAAGGTGTTGACAAATGTGACCGCCAATGTGCCCACAACTGCGCGGGTGGCTGAGGACTGTCGAGGTGGATCCGAAGATGAGCAAGGAGAAGTATTTCGGGCGAGTTGCGTACTCTGGCGAATACCACAAATCAGAGCTGTCAGGTTGGATGCTTTGCAAAGTTCAAATGCGTACTGTGTTCTTGCTCGTACTCGCCGCGGTCGCGCTGCAGGCTGCGCGAGGCAGTCGTCACGCCCGCGGCCCTTTACGGTGGCGGATGCTGGACCCTCGGCGCCGTCGACAGGCGTCAATTGAGAGTAGTTCGGCGCAAGATGGCCAGGAAGATCTTCCGCGCGACCCGTGGCGCAGAGGAGTCATGGGTGGATTAGACCAAGAGAGCCACAATCCGGGTGGAATCCGCTTGCGCGGAGCGGGGCTTTCAGTATTGGGCAATTGCGCTGGTTTCTCGGATGCTTACTTTCGCGACCAAGGCGCCCTTGGCGCCGCCGACACTTGACGCGGAGGCCCTGGTTTCGCTGCGCCGCTGTTCGTCGCCCGGGCAGGCGTCGTTTAAGAAAGGGAGATTCATTGTCATGCCGATTCGAGTGAATGTTGCTTCTTGTCTCGTTAGTTGATTGTCTCCTGCTGCAATCCACGCGCCAACTCGTCTGTCGCCTTCTAACAGTCGCGAGCGACGCGCGCTGCAGTTTTCGCCAAGACACGTTTCGCCATGTTTTGACGCCGCCTGCCCTTTGGACGGGGCCGCTCCTCTGGAGCCGGCATGCAGGCTGCGCTTGCACCTTCCGACCGACGCGCGCGGGCGCGCACCCCACCCCGCCAGAACCCGCCCGCCGCCGGGCTCATGGGAGAGAAGCTTGCCATGTCGTGGCTTGGTCAGCAGCGACGCGATCCCAGCGCTGGAGCTTGCCCCCCCCGCCCCCGGAGGGGGTCGTCGTCGCTCGCGTGCCCTGCGCCGCCGCGCGGGAGGCGGGGGCGGGCAGAACCTCGCGCGGCATGGGGCGCGGAGGCCGCAGCGCCCGCGCAATGTGCCCAGCAGCCGGCGGGGCAGGTATCAAACGGACGCAAGCCTGGGGGGGGGAGGAGAGAAGGGGCGGGCCTTCTCAGAAGGGTCGGAAGTCCTTCGGCCTCCTGAGAAGTGTTCCACGCCTTCCTCGAAGACGCAGAAGACTTTTCAGAGGGCGCGAGGGCTTTTGAGCAGTCCCGCCGCCATCTGAGCAGGCCTTCCCCTTCGCACTTCCCCACCATCGCTCGCCGCCAAAGAAAGGTCGGCCGGGCGGCGGCCAGCCCCGTCCAGCCCGGCGACCGGCTGATCTTCGCCACTGGGGCCCCTCTCCGGCGCGCGCGCGCGCGGCGGGGGGTGCCCCGCTCGCCCTCGCTACCAGCGCGTCCGCGAGGCGTTTCACCTGGGCCCATGTTGGCACACCCGTCACTCGCGTCGAGGCCGCCGAACGAGGTTCACCGAGGACGATACCCACCACTGCGTTCCTCACCGCTGCACACGGTTGCGCCCTTTCGCCAGGATCATTATTCTGACTGCGTCAGCTGGCCCGTGCCGTTGGACCCGGGATATATATATATATATATATATATATATATATATATATATATATATATACATATACATATGCATGCATGTATATATATATATATGTGTATATGTGTATGAGAAAGTATGTACACATATACGTATATGTGTATATATATAATGAGTAGTCATGTCTATAGGTATTTGAACTTGCTTTGCTTGGGCCTTCCAACGACCGATACTCGTCGTCGGCGAAGGGGGGGTCACGCCAGTGACCCGCGCTCTCGCGGCCACGTGACGGCTGCATTCCTTGTGCTTCTCTCCAGACTCTGCCTCTCAGTCGTCCCTTAAGTCGGGCCTGTCCCTCTACAGGAGGGATCTTCAAAAATAAGACTAAAATAGTCGGGGGACGATTTTAAACTATTTTCTATCGTTTATACTATTTTCTTATTTGTCGTCCAAAATCTGCCTGTAGGGGGACACGCCCGGCCTAAGGTTAGCCCTGATGCATCCCCTTCGGCTCATCCTTGGCCGCTTTCGCTGGCCGCGCCACGCTCGCAGAGTGTCGGCCTGGCCTTCCAAGGCCCTTGCATTTATTGTGCGTTTTTTTTTCTACGGGTTGACTGGATCCTGCTTGCTATCCTTTCCTTCCACGAGCCTCATCCCACCCGAGTGTCCAACTCGCGGGAGGTCATCTTCCACATCGGCGTTGGTATATCCAGGGTCGAACTCGAGCCTGATGCAACCGAGTCCCGCTCAACTCAGTTAGATCCCGCTTAGTTCTGTTTCATCCCCTCGCTGAATATGGCCGGATCTGGCTTGGTGGCCCCTTGATCTGGCTCAGTGGCTCTTGGTCGCTCTCAGGAACACCTCCAATTAGTTACTTCCTAACCTCCGAGGCGTGAATTTATCCACCACCACCACTACGGCATCGGGGATCGGTCTTCAGGATCGTCAGCAGGCGGCGCATATGGATATACATTCGACAGTCCACAATGCATCCACATCCACCGCCCGCTGGGGTCCTAGAACGTGGGCTTTCCAGGCGATGGACAGCCTGCTAGACGTTAGCGTGACCCTTTGCCAGAGTGATCCTTGGTGCGTGGATACAGTCAACGCGCCTAGTAAGGACGCGCGCCTTCGTCTACGGTGCCCTTGTGTCCATGCCTCTGCGGCCCGTCCTCTGTCGTTTTCACTGGTCGCCGGAAAAATGCCAACTTCGGCCTCCAAGGGTCTTGCGCCCCCACCGCTCGTCCTCGATACACGCTTTTTGGCTGTACTTGGGGGTGCGGGAGCCGAACCCAGGCACGCAGGTCGCTGCAGTCGCACCGCACGTGCAGCGATCGGCACGCCTCGCACCGCACGCCACGCTCTTACAGGGTCGCTGCCTTCGGTCGGGGACTTCTGCTCAGCGATTTCTTGCTCTGCCCGTGCTGGCCCACCAAGCTGCGGGGCCAGGCGCCATCCACGTCGCAGTCCCTGGGGCCCCCCAGGGCGCCCACGTCTCGAGCCGTTTCCAGGCCTCCCGCCCCGCGGGGCGGAGCGACACGCTGTCCGCTCGCAGGGCATCGCGCGTCGCCGGGGCCGCCGCCGCGATACGCTGAGCAGAACAGTTTCCAGCTATATGCGTGCGGTGGCGACGCGGCGACGACCCAGCGCGAGCGTTCAAGATCGAATGCCGCCAGTGGCCCAGAATCGTCCAACAGAGAACGATCTGGCGACCTGAACAAACGCCGATCGCTCAAAGTCAGAAACCAGCGCGGAGGAGGAGGAGGAGGAGGAGGAGGACCTGGAGGAAGAGGAGGAGGAGGAGGAGAAAGAGGAGTCCGAGGGGGAGGAAGAGGAGAAGGAGGAGGAGGAGAAAGAGGAGGACGAGGGGGAGGAGGAGGAGGAGGAGGAGGAGGAGGAGGAGGAGGAGGAGGAGGAGGAGGAGGAGGAAGGCCACGACACGAACCGCCAGGGCCTCTCTCGCGACGCGTTGTGCAAAGGTTCCCGGCCGCACGCTTCCGCCGTGGCCCTCGCGTGCCAAGGCCGTCGGGTTGCTGCTCCGTCTCGGCGCCGACGTGGGCGCGCGCGACGACGCCGGCATGACGCCCGTGCACCACGCCGCGGCGGCGGGCTGCCTGCAGAGCTGCGAGGGCCGTCGGGTTGCTGCTCCGTCTCGGCGCCGACGTGGGCGCGCGCGACGACGCCGGCATGACGCCCGTGCACCACGCCGCGGCGGCGGGCTGCCTGCAGAGCTGCGAGGCCTGCCGCAGTTGCCCGCGGGGCGTCGAGTGCACAGTCATGCTGGAGTCGTACAAAATCCTTCTCCTCGATCCTCCTCGCACCCCTCCTTCCCACTCCCTCCCTCCACCTCCCCCCCCCTCCTCTTCGTCCTCCTCCTCCTCCTCCTTCTCCTCCTCGTCCTCCCCCTCCTCATCCTCCTCCTCCTCCTGATCCTCCTCCTCCCCCTCCGTTTCCTCCTCCTCCTCCTCCCCCTCCTTCTCCTAGACCAGGCACCAGGCCTGGGCGGTTTGAGCGGTGTTGTTTTTGTAAGACATATCGAAATACAGACACACACCTACATATATATATATATATATATGTATATGTGCAATCCGCCACCCATAGGAATCTTGTAAGAGCCCACCACAAACGGAATGGTCCTGTGACACTCAAGTTCCTTTTGAGGCGGAATTCAAGATTGCAGAAAGGATTGCATAACTAATCCCATTTAATAATGGAAGACGGGGCTCCCGTTGTGTAGGATTGCGTAAAGAATCCCCCCCCCCCTGGCGGACTATAGAAGAATTCCCTTCGCGGCCGAATGCAACACCATTCTTAGTTGCTGCAGAGTACAAACAACACTATTCCTTGTGTGGCGGAATGAAAAAGGAATCATGTTTGTGGCGGTCCATACATTGATTCCTTCGGTGAGCGGGAAGGGGGAGGAAAACCATTGAACACACACAACAACAACAACAACAAACACATGCCTGCAGGCATGCGGCGATGATCCAAGGAAATCTGCTCGACATAATGATTCTTGCTTTTTGTCCACGTGGTCCCCCCCTCTTCCACGCTCACAACAGGAATCCGTTGGTATTCCGCCTTCGGAGAAAACGTTTTGACTTGCGCCGAAGAAGGATGGCTTTGCTATTCCGCAACGCAACGAATCCGTGCGTAGTATGCCACAACGGGAATCCTCATGTATCTGGCAATAAATGGATTCGCTTTGCGGTCCGCCACATGAGGGGCCCCTCCGCAGTCAACAGCACAAGGATTCCCTTTATATTCTGCCACACAAGAAATCTCGTTGCATTTCGCCGCGCAAGAAAAACTTCCAGGATTTTGTTGCCAAGGGGATCTGTTTTGCTTTCGGCCACAAACGGGTTCGATTTGCATTCCGCCGCGCAGGGGATCCTTGGATAATCACACACAGAAGGCTTCCCCTTGCATTCTGCCACAAACAAAACCCTTCAGTAATCAACAACAAAAAGAATCCCCTGTATTCTGCCACACAAAGAATCCTTTAGTATTCTGCCACAAGATGAAGTCCTTTTTGTGTTCCGCCACAGACGGGAGTTGTTTGTATGCGGCCGCAAGGGGCATCCAATTGACATCAACCACAGAAGGACTACTCTTGTACTTTGCCACAAGGAATGTTTTAGTAAACCTCCGCAAAGGGAATCCTTTCTAGTATCCCGCCACAGACCGAATCCGCCGGTACTCTGCGACAAAGATAATCCGATTGTGCTCCGCCACGAGGATCTCTTTTTGTTTTCGGCCACGAAAGGGTTCCCTTTGCATTTCGTCACATACGGCATTTCTAGGCAAGCAGTCACAGAAGGGTTCCTCTCGTACCCAACCACAGAAGGAATCCCTCAGTAATCCACTTCACCGCGAATCCGTCAGTTCTCCGCCACAGCAAGGGATCCTTCCGAATTCTGCCACAAACGGATCCCCTTGACACTGATCCAAATGTGGAATCAGTTCGTAGCCAAACACAAGGATTCTCTTGCCATTCTGCACCACACATATAATCCTTTTTCGCACTTCGCCACAAAAGAGATCCTTCAGTATCCTGCCACGTCTGGAATCCCTTTGTATTCCGCTACAAGGGAATTCCTTTTGTATTCGACCACAAGAAAAGAATTCCTTTTGCACCCCACAACATACGGAACCCTTTGGCAATCAACTGCAGAAACAAAAGGTTCCACTCGCACTTTGCCACACAAGGACTTTTTTGCATTCCACTACACCATGAATCCTCTAGTATTCTGCCACACCGGAGGTCCGATTCTATTGTGCCGCGAGGGGAACCATTTTGTATTCGGCCATTCAAAAAAGATTTCTTGCTTCCGCCGCGTGCGGAAAAAACACCTTTGGTAATTGACCGTGGAGGGTTTTTTCTTCTATCTTGCACGACAGGAATTTCCGAGTAACCGACCAGACCCGGAATCCTTGAGTCTTTCGGGTATTCTGCCACGCGCGGGATCCTTTTGCATTCCGCTGCAAGAAAACGTTTCTTTTGTATTCGGCCACAAGAAGGATCCCTTTTGCATTCTGCCCCATAAAGACTCCATGTGACATCAACCACAAGAGGTTTCCTGCTGTATTCAGCAACGAAAGGAGTCATGTAGTAACTCGCACCAGAATGGAACCTTTAGTGCTCCGCCACAAATGGAATATCGCCGTCTACTGCCGCATAGGGAATCTTTTGTATTTCGCCACACGGAAAGCCGCGTTGTATTCGGCCACAGTGCACATCCCTCTCGAATTCAGCACTGACGGATTCTCTTTGACACAAGAAATCTTTCTATAGCATTCTGCCACTAAAGGAATCTATTTGTATTCCGCCACGACGGGGATCATTTAGCATTCTGCCGCACCGGGATGGAGGAGTGCCATGTGAGCCGGGTGCGCATCGATTCCATGCGTGGCTGTTTACAACATATATCGTTTGTTGCTTCGTTTTATTCCGAGAGCACAATCAAAACCGAAACCGCCCAGGCCTGTACCGTGCCTGTCGCCACTCCTTTTCCTCCTCCTTCTCCTCCTCCTCCTCCTTCTCCTCCTCCTCCTCCTCCTCCTCCTCCTCCTCCTCTCCTATCACTCAGAGCGTTCAAAGTTTGAGATATTCGGTTTTTGGACGTGTTCGTCGGTTCTCGGCGGCTTCCAGATTCAGGATGCGTTCCAGCAGCTGCGCCTCGCCAAGGGCTCCGTGGGGGCTGCCAGGATCGTGCCGAACGGCCCCCGAAAGCCAGACATCCCCGCGTCGCGTAAAAATCACGACGGGGGACTTTGTGCAGTTTTCGGCCTTTGGGGCCCTCGCTGAACCCCAGGGCCGTCAAAGAGCGACTCTGGATCAAACGCCGTGCCTGCGGAAAGGGTCTGGATTTTCGGGGATCCCGTATGAGGGGTGGCCTGCGGGGACGTGGAGCGGGACTGGTCAGATTTTGGGCGTCGCCCGCGTGGCGTCTGCGGGGGTAGGCTGCGACTCCTCAGAGGTTGTTTCAGCATCGTCGCTGGTGTATCCGTCGTCGAGAACAGGCCTAATCCGGCATGCCCCCGTTTCATGTGGCGCAATCCTTTTATATCTGGCTCAATCCCGCCTCATCTGGCCCAGCAGCCCAGCAGTGAGGCTAGATAGTATTCAATCGTTGTTGCGAATGCCACCTCCTGGGAGTCGCCCGTCGAAGGGGGGGGGGGTGGCCTGCGGGCGCCGCGAGCGGCGCTGACAGATGCCGGTGCCGCGGCTCCTCGTGGTGCGCCCTCGTCGCCACAGGTGGATCCGCCTCCAGGTCCTGGTCAGGGCGCGCCCACGCAGAGGCTTGTGAAGCAGCGGTGTCGGCACCCAGACATGATCGCGTCGTGGAAGAAATCAGGACGGTGGGTTTTTGGCCGTTTTCGGCCTCGGGAGGGTCTCGCCAGATCTCTGGATTGTCAAAAAAGGACTCAGGATGAAAAACCGGTTCTGGGGAAGGGGTCGGGATTTCCAGGGACCCCGTATTGAACAAATCAGGACGTCGCATGTTTGGATACCTACTTTTTCCTCCCAGGAGTTTTTTTTGCACCCTCTCGCGAAAACGGCAATTCCCCGGGTGGGGGGGCAGACGTGCGGGATGGGGCTAGGAACGTCGCGATCCGCACTGGCACCGTCTGGAAATCTGGTCCCCCATGATGGTCCCCCATGCAGCCATTCTCGGGCGGCGCCGCCGCGAATCGTGAGGCTGCCGGGGACGGGGGGCGACAACGGGCGTTGTCGCGAATCGCTCGACGTCGCAAATCGGTTCCGCCTGGGCCGACCAACCGGTGGTCGGTCGGCAAGGGCCGCACCGAGCTGGGGGGTCGCCCGTAGTCCCTGCCCTGGCTCTTGCGGCGGGGTCAGGCCTGTCCCGGAGGCCTTCTGGAGCCCTTCAGTAGCTCAGGAGCCGTGACGGTGATGATGTATATGCCGCCGCGTCGTCGGTTCCGACGCGCGGCCCCACGCCTCTGGGAGGGCGCCGCGGCCACCAGGGCAAAAACGCCGCCACGGACGCACTCGGCTCGCCGTGGGGTGTGCCGCGGCGCCGGCTTCGTCTCCCTTGGGCGGGGCGCAAGGTGAGCCTTGGGTTTGCCGTGGTGCCGGCGTCGTCCACGTGAGCGCGTCGAGGACAAGCGGTGCGGCGACGTGTGGAGTTGGCTTGCTCGAGGGGCTGCCCCAGTGGCCCCAGCTGGCCCCAGCAGGCCCCACGAGTGGTCTGGGGCGGTCTCGGCACCTCGGCCCTGGGGCGCCCCGGGGGCGCCAGCAGAGGCGGCGCCGGGGGTGCCGAGGCCGAGGCCAGCCAGAGCTGCCTGGGGAGCTAGGGGGGGGGGGGGGGGGCTGTCTGCGCGCAGCTCGAGGCCTCGCCGGCCCCGGGCGGTGGCGGGGGCTGGTGCGAGCCGCGGCCGGGAGGCGGCCGCTGGGGGGGCGGGGAGGGCAGGGCAGAGGGGCGGAGCGTGAGCAGACGACGGGGCGGGACTCGCACGGGGGGCCGCGCGCAGGGGGGTCCTCCCCGCGCGGCTCGGTGGCAGGAGCACACGCGGCGCGTGCACCGAGGGCGCAGGAGCCGCGCAGACAGATCGCCAGGACCTCGGGGTTGGTGTGTGTCGTTCCGCCGGGGGTCTGGCCCACCACGCTTCGGCGCGGCACGCTGTCCACGTCCCAGTCCCCGAGCGTCAACGTCCCGAGCGTTTCAGAGCCTCCCGCCTGGCGGAGCGGCGCGGCATACCGTGTTGCCCGGGCCGCCGTTGCGACACGCTGAGCATAAGCTCCTGGCCGTCAATTTTGGAGCTCCGCTCGGGAATCCTGGAGCGGCGTGGGGCCCACCTGGCAGCGCCTCTGGCACCGCACCTGGCGCATTCATCGCGCTGGGTTCGCCGATCCACGCAGTCCGCGAGGATGTCCGAAAGTGCTTGTTCATGCCAGCTTTCTGGAGGAGGAGGAGGAGCAGCAGCAGCAGAAGCAGCAGGAGGAGGAGGGAGATGAGGAGGAAGAGGAGGAGGAGCAGGAGCAGCAGGAGGAGGAGGAGGAGGAGGAGGAGGAGGAGATGGAGGAGGAGGTGAGGGGGAGGAGGGAGGGTGAGGAGGAGGAGGAGGAGGAGCAGGAGGAGGGGGAGGAGGGGGAGGGGAGGAGGAGGAGGAGGAGGAGGAGGAGGAGGAAGAGGAGGAGGAGAAGGAGGAGGAGGAGGAGGAGGAGGAGGAGGAGGAGGAGGAGGAGGAGGAGAGACGGAGGAGACGGAGGAAGGAGGAGGAGGAGGAGGAGGAGGAGGAGGAGGAGGAGGAGGGGAGGAGGAGGAGGAGGAGGGAGGAGGAGGAGGAGGAGGAGGAGGAGGAGGAGAGGAGGAGGAGGAGGAGGAGGGAGGAGGGAGGAGGAGGAGGAGGAGGAGGAGGAGGAGGAGGAGGAGGAGGAGGAGAGGGAGGAGGAGGTGGAGGAGGAGGAGGAGGTAAGACCGCTGCGAGCCCCGTCGCTCAGAGTCGGGTCGACGTAAAATTGGAAGGGTGAGGATGAGGAGGAATGCAGGAGGAGGAGGACGAGGAGGGGAGGACGGAAAAGGGTTTGGTGATGCGGCCGAAGGCCGTGCTGCAGTTAGACCCCTCTTGGGGTGAACGCCACAGTCAGCTTCCCCCGCGCTGCGAAAAGGAGGGTGCGCGCAGGCGCGTGCCGAGAGCGCACGCCTCACAGACCGTGCCGCGTCAGCACGTGATCGTAGCAAATGTGTCGGCTTTCCCGCAATGCTTCCCAGCCTTGCGCATACTCGCCTGTCACGGCACCGGGTTAGAGCAGCCCCCCGTTGCTTCACCACTAGAGGCCCTGATGGCGCTCCCCATCTCCTTCCTTTGCCCTGAAGTGTCCATCTCCGCAGCCTCCCCTGCTCTTACCCCCCCCCCCCGACCTGGCATGAGCCCCCACCCCGTTGCTGCTCCGCCCCAACTGGTATTACGTTCTTCATACTGCTTTACTGCTTTCACTACGGCGCGAGGTGCTGGTACGGGCCGGTGCGAACGCCGACGCGTGGGACAGCCAGGCCGCCGACAGTTTTGATGGACGCTGGGGGAGGCGGAGGAAGGGCTGGAGGATGAGGACGACGAGGAGCTACATTCTTGTGTGATGCGGATAGCGATTATGACGCAGCCTACGGGGAGGCGTAATGCATGCGTGGGCCAACTGCGCCCTTGTTCTGGCGCCTCCAGCGGCGGATGGACCAGCAGTCCAGGCGCGCTCCCCCGCCGGGCACACCCCTCTCGCCCTTCAGACAAAGGAAACTCGCGGAAGAGTGGGCCCCATGAGCCGCCAGACAAGATAATGCGAAACGGGCACTCGTGGATGTCCCAGCGGCCCTTCACGATCTCGACCACATTGACCACGCCGGTCGAGGGGGCCTTCTTGACCTCCTCCAGCAGCGCCTCCAGGGAAACAAAGCCGGGAGCGATGTCGGACAACTGAATCAGCTCTGGGGTTTTGCCATGTCGACGGGGCAGAGAGACGGCATTTGGCACACGCCGCTCACACGATGGAACCATGGAGGGCGTGGCCCTTCGGGCAACTGCAACATGCTGGAGCGCGACGGGAAGGGAGGAGGAGGAGGAGGAGGAGGAGGAGGAGGAGGAGGAGGAGGAGATTGTCGGACTACACAGCCTTTTAGGGTGGCTGCCCCCCTTTCCAGGGTTGACGCGTGCTGGGCCCAGGCCCGAACATGACGGGATCAGTGTGCGACGGGACGCAATCCTCCGATCAGGGATCAACGCATGAGGGCCCGCGTCACGGCACGATGGATCGTGAGGGGCCGAGGCCTCAGCGATGGGGTCGGCGTATTGCGGGTCACAGGCCCACAGAGAGACGGGCCAGCGCGCGAGGGATATCCTACACGAGGGGGCGACGCCCAGAGCGAAGGGCCAACAAAGGAGGGGTCGGATCCTCGCGGATGGTATGCGCACTGCGCGCATGCTGCGGGCGTGATATGCTTTTCAACAGCTAGCATCGAGATGCGCAGGCAGAAATGGCGGGCAGGACGCTTGTGTGCGGGGGGGCAGCAGGATGAGGCAGAACGAACAGGCGCACCAGGGTAGCAGCGTGGCAGAGTGGGATGGGGCAGTAGACGGTGGAGGCAAGAAGCGAGCCGGAATAACCTCCGCAGACCTTTTGCATGCCATGAGGGGACAAATCTGAGAGTGAGGGGTCAACGCATCGACTAATATGGCGAATCTGCTGCGCGGGGGAGCAACGCCCGAGGGGGCGGCCCCAGCGTGACGGGTCAACAACTGAATAGCCAAAGCCCCGGCAGGAGGGGGCAGCGCATGAGGTCGAATGATGAGGGAAGCGCCCTGCATGAGGGTTCAATGCATGTGGACCCAAGTCCCCAGCGATGACATCAACGCCTGGAGGGTCGTAGACCCAGGGTGAAGGTCACCGCGCGAGGAGCCACATCTTGAGTCTCTAACAGGAATGGCAATACCCCAGCATGACGGGTCAACGCATGTGGGTCCAAAGTTCCAGCTGTCGGGCCAACGCGTGGAGGGTCGCACACACGGAGTAAAGGGTAAACGCAAAGGAGATCAAATCCACACAGTGAAGGGTCAATACACGAGGGGGCTGCCCCAGCGTGCAAAGTCAACGATGAAGGGAAACACCCCAGCATGGGCGGATACCGCATGATTTGAGAAGGGGGCCGCGCCCCTAGCATACGTGGTAATCGCTAGATGTGTGAGAAGAGGACAGCGATTCGACGAATCGGAAAAATAGCCAACACATTCACTGATACTTGGCCAGCGACCAACAGCCCGTGGCCGGTGGCCGTATGGAGCCCAGAAGCATCTGCGGTCGGTGCCGCAGGGTGAGGCCTTGTACGCCAGGGCTCACGCCGGCGCCGATATTTGGAAAAAGGGGGACCAGGATTGCCCGTTGAGAGCATCAGGGTGAGCATTGCTTCGCCGGCGCCTCGCGCGTCCCTCACAGCAGCCGAGCCCCAGAAGGTGCGGGCAGCCCGCGGCGCGGGCGGGGAGGCGGAGCAGGAGGAGGAGGGCACAGGCGGAGTACACAGCCTCGAAGGTGGCTGTCCCCTGCAGGCCCAAAAAGAGATCTATGGCAAGAGTCCGCGCGTCTGCCGACTTGTGAGGCAGACGCGGGCGCGTGCTCCGCGGGCAGCCTCTGCCCGGCGATGGGCGCCCCGCACGTGGAGGAAGGCGCCCAGCGGGGAGAGGACTTGATCGACCCTCCTCCTCCTCCTCCTCCTCCCCCTCCTCCTCCTCCTCCTAAGCCGTTTTGGCCCAAGTTTTTGGGCTTGCAGCAGCAGTCTTCAGAGCGGCAGCCGCTGCTGCGAGTCATTGTGGCAACTGCGTTCTCGCGCCTCCCTGAGGCATCCTCTTCCGCGCTAGTGGAGCGCTCCATGGCAGATGGTGTCGATGTCTTGCCAGGACCGCGCACACCATTCTGGTCGTGTTCGTGTGGGCTCTCGACAAGCTGGGCTTCGCGCTTGGTCTGTCGCTGCGGCAAACCCGCCCCCGTGGCGGTGGCCAAGGCAGCCCGCGGGAACGCAAAGCATGCTCAACGTACTACTGCTGGTGGTCAACAGCCTCGTCATGGTCTCGGGGCTCGCACTGGCAGCGTCACAGCGGCAAAGCTCTCCAAGCAGCTTGCCGAACTCCAGAAGAAGTATGATAAATTGGTTGGTAACGGCAATGGTGGTGGTACTAACACTGCTGGCGGGCCTCCTGTCGGCGCTGGTACTCTCCCAGAACCGAGTGAAGGTGAACGTAAGGAACAAGCGCTACGTGACAACATCAAGCAGCTGGAACAGGCCCGCACCGCGGTCGAGAGGGTGCCCAACAGTGACGAGGCCAAGGCTGTTCTGGATGCGCAGTTGTCTGAGGCGCGCAAGCAGTTATCAAGCCTCAAGCCTGAGCTCACGGTCCACACCAACATTGGGCACCGTTTGCAGCGGGCTGAGGCCAAGGTCGAGAAGATATCAGCTCAAGTCTCCGAACAGCTCGACGTTCTTCGTTTGGCCCAGGAGAAGTTGGACAGCCTGCAGTCGCAACATTTGTTGGCGTCTAAGGAGGTGGAGCAGCTACGTGGTGAGCTCGTGGCAACACTCCCATCCTCTGTGGCCCAGAAAGTTGGCGGGCTCGATATTCAGGACTTGGCGGAGAATGATGACGAGCAGGCTCAGCTGGATGCACTCTTTCAGTCTTCCCGCTTCAAGCTCTACCAGGAGGCCCTCGCGAGGAAGGCTAAGGCGAAGCAGAACAGTTCCCGTGCTGCTACTTCGCCCTTCGATCAAGATGGTGATGTTCGTATGGGCGAGCGGGGTCGGTCACCTGCAGCGGCGCGCGATGCAGCTGCTGCCTGCGGTACCCCTCCCGCCGCTGCCGCCCATGATGGAGCAAGTACACCCACTCCAGCTGCGCCAAGTACACCCCCTCCAGCTGCAGCTGGCGATGCAGCGCGGGCAGCGGGAGGCGGAGGCGACCTCGGTGGACTGCATCATGAAGTCCCACCAGACCCCGAGCTGGACCAGGAGATGGACGCGCTCTTCTGGTCTGCCCAGCACGTGGACAAGCGGATCTTCCACATTCAGCTTGCTGAGCTGCTGGCCAAGCGGCAGCGCTTGGGGTAACCCGCCACTTTTACTTAGATGCTGTGGTTTTCGCCTGACACGCGCAGGCACTGTGCAGCCTCCCCCCGCTCCTCCTCGCCTCGACCCCGATGGTGAGGGCTCGTCTGGCTATGGCGAAGTGCTGGAGTCCTATAACGGCAATTCTTGGGGGGCCCTGAAGGACAGGCTGGCGGTCAGTTCGGCCCTCATTTTTCTGGCCCAAGAGGTGGGGTTCACTGAGGACTCTCTGGGTGAGAAGTGCGCGGCTGTGGGTAATTTGGGGTGGAAAATTCTGGCCTCCCCGTCGACGGTTGGGGCCAGGGGTAGGCCCAAATGGGGGGTCGCGGTTCTTGTGCGGTCCCATATCGGCCTAAGATGGCCAGTCTGTGGCGGCATGATTGCGCCGTCTCGAGTCATGAAAGTGGTGGTCGACATCCCTGAGTGGCCCCCTCTGTCCGTCGTCTGCGTGCATCTGAAGAGCGACACTGGCATGTGTGATCTGAACGTTTCTTATCTGAAAGCTATCGGTCGTGCTTTAGAGCACGACACGCTCTTTGTCGTTGGGGGGGGGGGATTGGAACTTGGACCCTGCTCTGGTTGAAATGTCTGGACTGGTGCGGCGTCTCGGCTCGCTGCTTTTTGTTCCCCCAGGTAAGACTTGTGTCAGCGCCAATGCTCTCAGCACTATCGACTTCTTCCTGTGCAGCTCGACTTTCACGCGAGCCGTCATTAAGGTCGAGTGTGATCGTAGTTGGAGCACCCGGCTGCACCACCCAGTGCGATTGCAGCTCAAAGATCAGGCCACGCGACTGCATCAGCTAGTGCACCGCTGTCACCAGAGACTCCCAGTGGAGCTACCATACGGTCCGCAGCCTCAGCCACAGGATTGGAACGTCCCGAGAGATATGGCCGAAACCGCGGCCCGAGCTGCCCTCGTGAGCCCCGTTGGATTCGCTTGGGAACTCCTCACGAAGGCGTGGCAGTCGTTCTCTAATTGCTTGGAGCTTGAACTTGAAAGTTTTCTGGGGGTGCCGATTAAGGATAAGGGGCCCAAAGGTGTGACGCCTAAAGCTGTTTGGGTCCCTATCTTTTCTACCCCTAAAAGTGCTTGCACCGAGCTGGTTAGCCACGGATGGGTTTGGTTATCGCAGCATGTTTCTGAGACTCTCGGCGTGGCGACACGGCTGCTGGCGGCCGCGCAAGACGCTGCGACGGACCCTGTGCGGGGCGAGAGCTTGGCGAGTGACGCCGCTCAGCAGGTGCAGCAACTTTTAAATGAACCGTGCCCTGGTGAGGGCTTGTCTGCCAGGCTGGATGCGACGGTCCAGTCGGCTAGGACTCTCTTGCAGCAATGGCCTCCGTCCTCGCTCGAGCGATGGGTGCAGGAGCTGCGCGAGTACCTCGACTCGTAGCAGCGCAGAAGGGCCTCGGGA